GTTAGTTATTATCCTCGTTAGTTCAAATCAGTGTTGTGAAAGCTAGCATGGAACAAATACATGACAATATAAATATGGAAGAGTTTCCTAACATGGTTTGAATGGTTGAGAGTTAGGATGTTATTAAGGAGAGGGCTCTTCTTCTTTTTATAGTTGCTCCCATTATGGGCCACCATAGTAGATCCTTTGCCTCTATCTCACCCTATCCCTCCAACCGTCTTACCCCCACCCTCTGCATGTCCTCCTCCACCTCATCCATGAGCTTTCTCTGTGGTCTTCCTCTTTCTGCCTGCCTGGCAGCTCCATCTTCAACATCCTTTGCATCAAATAAATTTCCTTCCTGTTGTCGCCAAGTGGAATCCAGTAGTTTTCAGTGTTTGGAGTAACACTCGAGGGTCATCTTATTGTTGGGTTTTTCTGTTTTCTGTGTTCGCCGTATCATCGTAGGGTCTTTACATTACAATATAAATCGCCTGGAGGAAACAGTTTTGTGATGTGGTGCCATATAAATAAAACTGAATTGAACTGAAAATCGAACTGATTAACAAAATGAAAGGAAACAAAAAAATTACAGACAAAGTTACAAAGTATGAAAGTGCCGTTTAAAAATCCTTCAAACATCATGTAATAGAGAAAACTCAGCCGGGGAGCCTCCTCGATCAGGATCTCAGTGCTGCGTTCAGGCTCAGGTTCAACATACTTCTACAAAATAAATAAATGAAACCTTCAAAGTCTAAGTTTTCCAATTATTTACTCTTTTATTTAACTTGAAAGCAACGACACAGCGCTGCACAGAGCCACAGATGAGAGACCCCGTTACTGCTGATGTTAATGCTACTGCGCTAGGTGGAGACTCATATGAATTCAGTTAGTTGTAAACAAACAGGATGGACGCTGTGCTGTACAGTCGGATTCCTGCAGGTCGGAGGCGGAGGAGGAAGCCTCCTAACTTTACTCCTTCTCACACGACCTTGACACAGTTACATCACCAACTAAGCACAAACACATAATACTCAGCAGAGCACAAGGGACCTGTTTTAGTGTGATGTGCGGTTAAGTACCTCATCTTTGTCTTTTCATTTTGTGCCCGAATGTTGTGATGTTGTATCTTATTTGTGGCATCTGTGCAAAGACAAACGCACAAAATCAGCAGCTTGTGGCGACACGTGTTATGGTTGCTCAGGAATGTCTCGTTATGAAATAGTCCCAGGCATGAAATGTTAATTCATTAGTGTTAAAATGTGAGTTTTATTGCAAAACTAAGGACTGTAAAGCCCTCTGTTTCCAAACAGTCATTAAAGTGGACTCACTCAACCACAGGGAAGCACTTCCCAAAGAGTGGACGGCGAGGAAGAGCTCGCGGTGAAGCTGCTTTTAAATATATTTCCCATAAAGATGCTAAACAATGATGCTGTGCTGTGTTTACCACAGTTTGTGTTTCTCCTGGACTCCTCTTGGATTTGCAGTGCAGCTCTGTGAAAGTGAAGGACGGACAGATGGGAGAAAAGTCAGTGTAATATAGAAACTGAGATTTGCTCATCACAGACTGGAGCGTGCTGCGAGTAGTTTCAGTTCATGTCAGTTACTGGTTAAAGGTGTCACTGAGCAACTGAGACTTTTCTTTAAACCAGCATAAATGATCACGTTGCTTGCAGAGGTTCGTTTTCCTGTCGGGTTTCCAGCTGCTCCTATAACTCTCGTTGCTCCTTTCTTAGATCCTGCAGACAAAAGATGAAACGTTTGAGCGCAGTCGGCAAACTTTATTCGTATTTAAGTCTCTGACTGACTTTCCAATCAACTCGTCTCTGACAGCAAAAAGACTCGTAGCAGACATGACATCCGAAAGATGATGAAGCTTCAGTGTTTCTTCATCCTTACTATGTAAGACTATCTCCTCCAGCTTGTGGTGCAGGACACAGAAAATCTTTGCTACAGCTATCAATTTGAAACAAAAATGACCTTCAGTTTCTGACCTTTCCCCCTGAGATAATTCAGCTGAAAGAGGAGCAGAGCGTGACTGTTCCTGATTCAGCTGGAAATTCTTTCAGCTTTTACACTCCCGCCATTGGAGGCAAAATGTGGTGTTAAATCATTACAAGTATACTTGGAGACCCAGACGTCGCCTCAGCAGGCAGATGTTCATTGTTGTGCCTCAGCTGCTGATTCTCTGCCTCCAATCAGGACATGAAATCAACACCAGTGATTTGCTTTTGACATCAGTGAAATCTGTGACGTTAACAGTGGCAGCTGGTCGCAGGGTCGTGACCAGGCCTGAACTCTGAGATGAAGCAGCGTTTGTCCCGATGTCTTTTGGCTGAAGTCAAAAAAGGACACACTTGTGCTGCTCACCATGTCTCTTATTAATGTTTCTGAGCCCAAAGCGCCGCTTTTTTCATATTCCTCCTTCCAGAGTTTTCTCTTTGCTTCATCTGTTGCTGTAACCTGGATACACAGTCAATCATCAACGATGTCATCATAGCGGTGCCATAACTTATTTTGAAATGTTCCACAGAGGAGTGACGTGCACGGCGTTATTCCAGTTTGGGAGACTACAGCCCATGAACAGTGTGTATAAAAGTCTAGTTTAGCTGCTAAGGTTTAATATAACGAGCTCTTTTTCTGCCTTCAGTGCTGTTATCTTCTCTCGTCCTCCAGCAGCTGCTCACAGAGCTCCTTCTTCTCTCTCTAGTTGCTTACAGCATTGCAAAGTCTTCTCCTGATCGCGTCCACTTCACTACACACCAGGACCTGTTATACCAACAGGTGCCATAAACTGTGAAACAAGTGCAAATTTTTTCGCCCTGTTTTAGCACCCGCATGCTTTCCTGCTTCTCTCCATCACTCCTGAAGAGCTCCTGCATCATCCTGCTGCATCTCCAGGTATCAGCTTTTTTAATGCTGGAGGTTTAACAGGTTCAAATGTCGTTTAACAAACAAACATGTCTCTGCTTTCCCACGGAGAGCTAATCAAACTTTCTAAGTGACATTAACTGCTGCACAGCGAATACAGACATAATCCTGGGACTAATAAGCCCAGCGAGGTTTTTAAACTTCAAGGTAACACTGCCCCCTATTGGACAAAACAGCTCGTTTCTGTTACAAGCAGCTGTACATGATCTGAGAGTAATCAGATTACATCCCGTCCGCTTGCCCACATCACTGAAATCAGACTGCAAGCTGAGACGTGACAGCGTTGTGTTACGAAGGATTGTGTAACTATAAGCCTTTAATCTGGCTCGTTGATGAGCGCTAAGGAGCAAAATATCACAGGTTGATATTTCCCATCAGACCTTTTTAAAACAGAAGATTGTGATTTAAACTCAAAGACAAATAAAGAACACA